TTTCCTTCCTGGCCGTACTTGTTGGGGTGCTGGATTTTTTTCCATGTCTTTAGTCTTCCGTAAATTCAAATATATATATAAATATATATATATATACATATGTTCTCTTCTTTAGCTTGTGGTGAATACAGTAATTTGCATTGAAGAAATAAAACATTTGTTGCCTTTTTTGACTAAGGTTTCACAAGTTTTTAAAAAATGTTTAATGTTTATTTTTGAGAGAGAGAGCATGACTGGGAAGGGGCAGAGAGAGAGAGAGAGAGACAGAATCCGAAGCAGGCTCCATGCTCTGAACTAGCTGTCAGCACAAAGCTGGACACAGGGCTTGAACTCACAGTAATGCAAGATCATGACCTGAGCTGAAGTCGGACGCCTAGCCAGCTGAACCCCCCAGGCGCCCCTGATTTCACAACTTTCATTGGGGCCTGCTGCCAAGGTCCCAAGACCTCATCCTCTCTGATGAGGCTACTTTCCAAGGTAGGAGAGAATCAAGTATTAGAATTAAGAAGCAAGGGTAATCACTTACTCATCCCACAGATCGTTATTGAGCACCTTGTGTGTTCTGGGTACTGTGCCTAAGTGGAATACAGAACAGATCTGTTCGTGGAGCTGCTGGTAGTGGGGAGAAGCCAATATATTTCTGTTTGTTAACGCCTTAAAATAAAAGATTAGGGTGCTATGAGAGAGAATGAGGGGGACTTAATTTAGATGGGTCGAAAGGGCAGAAGAAACCTCCCTGAGGAACTAATATTAGTAAAAACTTCAAGGAAAAAGTAGGACATGGCCAGGCAGAGAGACTGAGAACAAGCTTCCAGAACTATGTAGCTATGGAGACACAGCATTCCAGGTGAAGGCCTGAGGAGAAAAGGAGCTCAGCCTCAGGATCCGACGGAAGGCCCCCATAGCTAGTAAGAAAGGAACGAGGGGGTAGAATATTATGGTCCCTTGTTGGAGAGCTCAGGAGACTGCTTGCGAAGCCATATTAAGGATTTTGTTTTTTATCCCAAGTGCAATAGAAAGCAAGAGTTGAAGCATGAAAGTGTTTTTGTTAAATCCTTTTAAAAGATAGCTCTGGCTTCTATGTGGAGAATGGAAAAGAGAGGTGTGGGGTCAGGGTACAGGACAGAGGACAAGCAAAATATGGAAATAGACCACTAGAGAGACTTTGAAGCCCAGCAGAAAGGTGCAGGTGGTCTATAAATTCAGTGGAGATATAATAGACAGAATTAATAGGTAATTTGTCACACATCAAAGGAATGCAGGAGCCTGCTAGCTTTCTAGAAATCTACCCTTGAATTTTGTTCATAAGATGGTCTATTCCAATTCTTAACTGCTAGACCATAAGACAAAAGGACTTCAATATTGATAAAGGTATTTGGGATGGAAGCAAAGTTGTAATCTTGGAGCTGCTTCAAAGGGAAAGACCACATACATGAGAGAAAACCAGGGAACAGCAAGCAATGTGGAAGAGAATAAATAGTAGATTTATATTCTGCACTGCATGTAAGCATGTTAAGAGAAATTGAAAAAAAAAATGAAAAAAAATTGAAAGCTAGGCTTTTACTGATGATATATTGTGCTAGAGAGGAGAAAAGTAATGGCATTTCTCCAATGATTCATTGGGGTAATGCTACCAGGGTTCCAGCCAAAAAAAAAAAAAAAGAAAAGAAAAGGCTTTAGTGAATTGCCATCTTTTTGGAATGAGATTGATAAAGCAAGGTAAAGTTATGGTGCCATTTGCACACCAGGAAACAGGATTCAATCACGGAAATCAATTTCATTTGCAGAAAATGACTTTTGCATGAATTTCAAACATCTTGAATTTGTATCCATGAAACTATCCACGTAAGATCAGCTCTTTCCAAGACTGTCCGTTATTCACATAAAACAATTTTTATTGTCAGGGTGCCTGGGTGGCTTAGTCTGACTCTTTTTTTTGTTTGTTTTTGTTTTTTTGTTTTTTTAATTTCTAGGAGAGAGAGAGAGAGACAGCGTGAGCAGGGGAGGGTCAGAGAGAGAGGAAGTCACAGACTGAAACAGGCTCCAGGCTCTGAGCTGGCAGTCAGCCCAGAGCCCGAGACGGGGCTCGAACCCACGAACCGCGAGATCATGACCTAAGCGAAAGTCGGACGCTTAACCGACTAAGCCACCCAGGCGCCCCGGCTTAGTCTGACTCTTGATTTCAGCTCAGATCATGATCTTGCAGTGGTAAGATCGAGCCCTGTGTTGGGCTCTGTGCTGAGCATGGACTTGCTTAAGATTCTCTCTCTCCCTCTGCCCCTCTCCCCTGCTCATGCTCACTCTCTAAAATAAAACAATTTTTAAAATGTATTTGAAAGAGAGAGAGAACAAGGGGAGGGGCAGAGAGAGACCAAGAATCTCAAGCAGGAATGTTTATTTTGAGAAAGAGTGAGTAAGCAGGGGAGGGGCAGAGAGACAGACAGAATCGGAAGCAGGCTCCAGGCTCTGATCTGTCAGCACAGAGCCCAACGCAGGGCTCAAACTCTCAAACCATAAGGTGATGCCCAGAGCTAAAGTCAGATACTTAACTGACTGAGCATCCCAGACCTAGGCACCCCTAAAATAAAATAATTTTTAATGCTAACCCACAATCAAAGGATTTAAGAAATGATAATTAAAAATATTTAATATATTTAAGTTTTCTTTTTTTTCTTGAAAGGCCACCATTCTGTTTTCAGCAGAAAAACATCACGTTCTGATTTGCAGGAGTATTGTTTGACAACTCAGGAATCGGAGCTATTTATAGCATGATGGTTAAAACATGCCCTTGGGTGTGAGCTTGGACCCAGTTCCAGCTCCATGATGCCACGTAGCCTTTGTTTCGTAATCTCTAAAATGAAGATTATAATACTTCACAGGAGTTGTGGAGTGGTTTTTTTTTTTTGTTTTCTCATAGAGTTTCAAATATTTCAAAAAGAGACAAGCTACTTATAAATTTTTAGCACAGGGTGTCTGGGTGGTTCAATCGGTTGAGCCTCCAACTCTTGATTTTGGTTCTGATCATGATCTCATGATTTGTGGGATTGAGCCCTTAGTTGGGCTCTGCACCGACAATGCAGAGCCTGCTTGGGATTCTCTCTCTCTCTCTCTCTCTCTCTCTCTCTCCCCCTCCTACTCTCTGCTCACATGGACACTCTCAAATATTTAAAAAATGTTTAGCACAGTAACTGGTTCATGCCCGAGTATATGGGTACCTATTATTATTATCTTTATACCCATTTGTTCTTAAGGCCAGACATGATGAAGTGGATTAAAAATAGCCACACATTCTTTGATAGCCTTCTCATCTATAATTGAAGCTTATGTCCCCTCCCCTAAAATCTGGGTGGGTTCTGTGTCTGACCAATAAAACTCAGTGGAAGTGAGACTGTGCCAGTTCCCAGTCCTTAAGTGACTGGTAGCTTCCACTTCCTGTCTCTCGATATATTTGTTCTTAGCCCCAGCCACCATGGTGTGAGAAAACCCACACATCTCTGGGAAGACCTACATGGAAAGAAACTGAGGACCACCACCCCTCCAACCACCAGCCATCTGGCCAACATCCACAGCTGAGCTCCCAGCCAAGAGCCAACAATTATTTGCCAGCCATGTGAGTGAGCATGTTGGAAGAGGCTCCTCTAGACCCACTCAAGCTGCCCCAACTGATGACAAGTAGAACAGAGGCTAGCTGTCATTACCAAGTCCTGCCCAAATTGAAGATTAGTGAGCACAATAGTTGTTTTAAGCTACGCAAGTTTCGGGTGGTTTGTAACACCAACAGATAACCAGCAACAGATGAAATCATAGTTTCCTCCTCTATTCTGATCCAGTGTGTGATTCAGAAGTAGGAAAAGGGTGGGCAAGTTCATTTCGTCCAGAAGAAATAAGTGGTTTATAGAGAAAATAGGTCATGAGGAAATTTGCTGAGTTTGCTTTGAGCTGCAAAACCAGCGCTTGACTTAAATATAACTCAGTCCAGTTAATCAACAAACCTTTACAGTCACCTGTCCTCTACTTGGTGCTGAGTATATATATAAGTACCTCTAAGAACTGATCTCACTTGCCCTGGATACAACTATGTCTTGGTAACCATTTTTAGTTCCAGATCCCACTGATATCTATCTATTTTATGTCCATTCAAAACGTCAATCCATTCAGGCTGGCCATCTGACCCTCAGATCAAACCCAAGTCAGACTTTAAATGTTCCAGACATAGAATACATCTGGTCCAAAGGTATAATGCAACCGGACATGTCTAGCGATCCAATAGAGAAATCAGTTCTAGGGAATCCTTTCGCAAAATTTGGCAGTTTTGGAGGGGAGTTTTCCTGAAACAAAATTATCCGATTTCGGGTTCCGTTGTCCAAAGTGTCCACTTTTATCTTGCCCAATTAGCCAAGAAACTAATAACTGCCAGATAATGTTTATGTGCGTTGCGTGTGTGTGTGTGAGAATACTGTCTTCGTGATGTAAGTTACAAGACGTCTACTTCTTGCAGTGGGGCTTTCCTCCCCCGAAAGGGAGTAACTATCTTGTAAACCCCAATCGGCAACTGGGAACATGGAAGCCGGCATCTAGGAACATGCAGGCTGGAGGTCTGCATTATCCGATTTAAAAACTAAGGGATTGGCTCTCAAGAAATAGGCAGTTCACAGTGCTCTTACAACCCGCTTTAAACTATTCAATCTTCTTAAATCCTGTAATTTATCCACAAGTTGCAAGTGAGGAAATTGAGGCTCTTAGCTTCGATTTCTTCCTCCTTAAAATGGGGGCCATATGAGACTCAACTCGCACACAGCGAGAGAACACACCAGTAAAGCCCAGGCGTGCCTCTTGAAGCCCAGCAGCTTCCCCTAGCCTCTCTCTGTTCTTTTCCTCATTTCCTCTCCCTTTGTCCCGCCCCTGGCGTCGGGCAGCGCGCGCCTGTGATTGGCTCTTGGGAGCCACGAGGCAGCAGACGGGTTGCGGTGGCCATGGTGACGGGGGGCGGGGCGCGGCGCCGCGCGGTGGGTAACTGACGCGCAGAGCTCACGACGGCCACGGCGCGCGTAGAGAGGCCTGGCTCCGCGTGGGGCCGAGCCGGCGCGAGGCCGCCGCCGGTGAGCCTGAGGCACGGGCCCCGCACGCAGGGCCCAGTCTGTTGGGCCGTGAGCGGCCGCGGCGTTGGCGGCGAGGCCTCCCAGATGCCGTTTGGGGCTCTAAGGAGCGGAGCGCAGGCTGGGCCTGGGCCGCGGGCGGGGTAGGAGGCCGAGGGGCCTGCTCGCCCCGCGCGTGGATGCGGCGGCGGCGGCGGCGATGGACGCCCTAGAGGAAGAGAGCTTAGCGCTGTCCTTGTGAGTGACGCCGTCGGGCCGGGGAGGCCTCGGCCTCGGCCCTGGGAAACGGGTGTCCTCGAGAGGTGGGACGGGAGGGGCGGGGGGGTGAGGGACCGCCACAGCTCCTCCCCAGTTCCCGCTGTTTGTGCGGCGGCTGCGACCTCCTGGTCCAGGCCCGGAGAGCGGGGCGAGTGTCACGTGAGGATCAACGCCTTTATCACAGACCCCCCCCCCACCCCCCGCCTTCGACCCTTAGTCGTCAGCAGAAACCAGGTTTGAGCGGCCGAGGCCCGACCACGGGACCCTCCACCACCTCCACCTCCAGTCCAATCGCCCCCTGGCCAGTTTCGCGCTCACTAGCTGATAGATGTGGGGTGAGAGCGAAGATGCGGGAGTAAACCCGAAGCAAATACATAAATACGAGGAGCCTGAAGATGTGCGGTGCGAGCCGTTGCCCCCTTTATAAGTCCCTTTTGTAGCTCCTTGTGTCTTAGCAGGTTTTCTGAAAGTGGAGCCACTGAACCCTGATGCCACAAAAATCTGTTTTCTTGTTTGGAATCGCTGCATTAGATAATTATTCCTAATGGGGTGATGGGAAGCTCATTTTTCTGTCCTTTTATTTTTGCACCTGTTTGAAGATTATTTGTATTTAAAGCGAATTGTTTGAAACAGCACCTAATCTGGGTCTATTTTTCAGCTCTTCCGACTCCGATGCAGAATTTGATGCTGTGGTTGGATATTTAGAGGACATTATCATGGGTAAGTTTGCTTGCCACAGTCTAACCTGTGCTCTCTTTAGTTCTTAGAGCTTTGCGGCTTGGAAGGTTAATTTTGAGAGAAAACAGCAAGCTGCATATAGTTTTTAATGTAGCACAGACTCCTGTTAAGTGCGATTAAGTGATGTTAGAGGCAGACACTCTCACTCTCTTTGTTTTAACAGCTAATAGTCATAGACTCAGATCCTGTAAGGGAGCCATCCAGGTAACGGGCCCCGGACGTTATGGGCCTCTGGGCAAAACTTCAGGAGCGACTTATGCAAAGTGTAAGAGGAATTCCGTTTTCTTAGTTTTGAGTTTTAACATTTTTGTGCCATAAACCACAGCATCAAGCCGTAATGCTAGCACATGTGTCCGTGAAGGAAAGAAAGGGCCATGCTTCAGCTGGTTCCGCATTTTCCTGGGTTCTGAGTTCCTGTTCGTGCATTCTGTGGTGTGCTCAGACCCGAGGTTTAGGACAAATCAGTAGGAAGGAAAAACTGAGCAAATTTTTGTCTGAGGTTTCCGAGACTTGGGCAAAAAAGCAGCCTTTCGTGTGGCGGTACTGGTGGTGTTTCTTGGTCTAGTTTAGTCTGAAAATCACCGACCCGCACTTTTGTATCTTCAGGTCCCAAAAAAGTTCATGCCCTTAAGGCCCCAAATACAGGTGTTTCAGTATTAAGCCCTTGTCCTGTGTGGAGCTGAAGATTTCTGAGGAATACTTTGAATTCTTTTGTCCTTTGGGCACCCTGTACGCCATGGGAAAAGGAGCCTTTTTTGACCTCAGGTTATTTATCCTAAAGTCTAGGTCATTTGTGAAGCTTTCCTTTTATTTTTAGAAGTAATAGTCTATGCACTTGTTAAAATTCCCTGTTCTCTCACATTCAGGTGTTTGCTATAAGCCACTCAACCCTCATCTGTGTTCCACCTGACAACCCTATGCGTTAGGTACTAGGAGCGTTCTCATTTTCTAGCTGATGAAATTGGGGCTTAGACGAACTAAGAAATGTGCCCAAGGTCACACAATTGACAAGGCTGAGCGAGGATCAGAGCCCATATGCTTAATCACTACAGTTTCCACCACAGCTGCTGAAATCGTATTCAAATAAGAGAACCATTTCATTCCTTTGTGGGAAAGGAATGTGGAGGACTTCCCAAGCCACCCTGTATGGGTGTGTTTAAGATGGACCGAAGGATGGTGGTAACGGTTGTACAACAATGGGAACGTACCTAATGCCACCAAACCACACTTAGGGGCGCTGGGTGGCTCCGGTGATTAAGCGTCTGACTCTTGATTTCAGCTCAGGTCATGGTCTCACAGTCGGGCTCCCCACTGGGCATGGAGCTTTCGTGGGGTTCTCTCTCTCCCTCTGCACCCCCGCACCCCTCTGTGCTCTCTCCGGAGGGTGGGGAAGAAGTTAAAATGGTGAACTTATGGGAATGCAAACTGGTGCAGCCACTCTGGAAAACAGTGTGGAGGTTCCTCAGATTAAAAATAGAACTACCCTACGACCCAGCAACTGCACTACTAGGTATTTATCCAAGAGATGCAGGTGTGCTCTTTCAAAGGGGCACATGCACCCGAGTGTTTATAGCAGTGCTGTCGACAATAGCCATAGTATGGAAAGAGCCCTAATGTCCATCCAATGGATAAAGATGTGTGTGTGTGTGTGTGTGTGTGTGTCTATACACCCACACACAGGGGCGCCTGGGTGGCTCAGTCGGTTAAGCATCCGACTTCAGCTCAGGTCATGATCTCACGGTTTGTGGGTTCGAGCCCTGCATCGGGCTTTGTGCTGACTGCCAGCTCAGAGCCTGGAGCCTGTTTCAGAGTCTGGGACTCTCTCTCTCTCTGACCCTCCCCTGCTCATGCTGTCTCTCTCTCTCTCTCTCAAAAATAAATAAAACATTAAAAATATATACATATATATTCACACATACACACACACAATGGAGTAGTATTCAGCAATCAAAAGAATGAAACCTTGCTATTTGCAACTACGTGGATGGAACTAGTTTGTATTATCCTTAGCGAAATTAGAGAAAGACAAAACTATGACTTCTCTCAAATGCGGAAGATACAAAACAGATGAACATAGGGATGGGAAGTAAAAATAATATAAAAACAAGGGAGACAAAACATAAGAGAGTCTTAAACACAGAGAACCAAGGGTTGCTGTTGGCGGGGCGGGGGGCGGGGGGGGGGCTACATGGACAAGGGGCCTTAAGGAGGGAACTTGTTGGGAAGAGCACGGGGTGTTATACCTAGGGGATGAATCACTGGGTTCCACTCCTGAAATCATTGCACTATATGCTAACTTGGATATAAATAAAATAATAAAATATAACTTAAATGAAATAAAATAATAAAATACTTCATGTATTTCAAATTGTCTCTTGCCACCCAGGAACCATAGAGGTATGAGGGTGAGGAGGTAGCTAGATTCTTAATAGAAAGCTTCACCTCCCGCCCCCCCTTTCCTTGAAGACTCATTGATATGTGGAATATTAAATGTGGGACTTAGAAAAATGTGCATTATGTGACTCTTGGTTTCTTAGCATACTGCATTTGATATGTTTCTTTATTAAACTTTATGAGACATGTTAGAAGGCTTGCAGCAAAAAAAAAAAAAAGTGAATTTAGCAAATATTTTATCACTTTTTTTAAAATTTTTTTTTAATGTTTTATTTAGAGAGAGAGAGAGACAGCGTGAGCAGGGTAGGGTCAGAGAGAGAGAGTCACAGACTCTGAAACAGGCTCCGGGCTCTGAGCTGGCAGTCAGCACAGAGCCCGACGCGGGGCTCGAACCCACAAACCGCGAGATCATGACCTAAGCGAAAGTCGGACGCTTAACTGACTAAGCCACCCAGGCGCCCCTATCACTTTTTCAAATACTAATATGTATTATAAATAAAAAGACCGGTTGGGCTATTTGAACATTGGTGTCCTGTTAAACCTTTCCCTAAAACACGGTTAGCTTTCCTTCTAGACACTGACCATTATGAAAGCAGTTCTGCTGACGTAGAATTCTGGCCTGTTTATAAATTATAATGGTTTGTAGTCTCCATTAAAAAGAATCAAATTTTTCTATTGTGGTTCAGACGACGAGTTCCAGTTATTACAGAGGAATTTCATGGACAAGTACTACCAGGAGTTTGAAGACACAGAAGAAAATAAACTCACCTACACACCTATTTTTAACGAATATGTAAGTAGTTTTCTGTTTCTTTCCCCAGAGATTAGAATTTCTTTAAAACGTGAATTTAGAATTGAAAGATGTTGACATTTGGGGCACCTGGGTGGCTCCATCAGTTAAGCCTCCAACTTTGGCCTCAGGTCATGTTCTGAGTTTGGGTTCAAGCCCCTTGTTGGGTCTTTGTTGACAGCTCAGAGCCTGGAACCTGCTTCAGATTCTGTGTCTCCCTCTCTCTCTGCCCCTCCCTTGCTTGTGTTCTTTCTCTCTCCAAAAAAAGTAAACAGTAAAAAAAATTTTTTAAGATACTAATTTAACATTTGGTGGACTTTAGAAGCTGCCACCGGTAACAGCCAGGAATTCTAGTTAGACTCTCCCATTGCTTCTTTTGCAGTTCTTGGGGGCGTTTGATGATTTTTGTCCAGCTTCTACTTTTTTTTTTTTTTATTGTTTATTTCTTTTGAGGGAAGGAGAGTGAGCAGGGGAGGGGCAGAGAGAAGGGGAGAGAGTGAGTCCCAAGCCCGCTCTATACTATCAGCACACAGTATAAGGCAGGGCTCAAATCCACAAACTCAGATCATGACTGGAGCCAAAATCAAGAGTAGATTCTTAACTGAGTCACCCGGGTGTCCCTCCAACTTTTTAAAAAAAAAAAAACATTTGGCTTGATCATAATCCCATTTTCAGTTACAGTATACGAGTTCACTATACCTTGCATTCATGTACTCTATGTGTATATATATTTTAGACCATATGTCTGTTGCATTCATATACAATATATTGACCTTTTGATTTGGACACACTACAGTTGACCCTTAAACAACATGAGGACTAGGGTGCCCACACCTGCACAATTGAAAATCCATGTACAGGGGTGCCTGGGGGGCTCAGTCAGTTAAGCATCTGACTTGAGTTCAGGTCATGAACTCACAGTTCATGGGTTGAGCCCCGTGTCGGGCTCAGAACCTGGAGCTTGCTTCCCATTCTGTGTCTCCCTCTCTTTCTCTGCCCCTAGTGTGTTTCTCAAAAACGAAAACTTTTAAAAAAAATTTTTTTAAAAATAAAATCTGCAAATAACCTTTGACTCTGAAAAACCTAACTACTAGGAGCCTATTTTGACTGGAAGCCTCACCGATAATGGAAATAGTTGATAAACACATATTTTATATAGGTATTCTATATTACTGTATTCTTACTATAGGATGCTAGAGAAAAGGTTACTAAAATCATCAGGAAGAGAGCATACATTTACAGTATTGTCCTGTACTTCTCAAAAGAAAGTATAAGTGAAGCCATGCAGTTCAAACGCTTAACTGTTCAAGGCTCATCTGCATGTAATATAATCAGGTGCGCATGACCGTTCGGTAGAAGCAAAAACCAAGACTAGATACCCAGGAGTCTCAGCTTTGCACCCTTGGGTCCTCCCATTGCTCTGGAACAATCTCACTCGTCTGAGAAAAGGTTTGCGCCTCGAGCACTTTCTTAACCTTAGAAGTGTGGCCTACTCAGCGGTTTCCTCCAGTCAAGCCTCCACTTACGAGGACCTTCGATTACCTCCAACGGTATGCTTCTTGGTATATTCCTTTCTTAAACATTTTTTATGTTTGTTTATTTTTGGGGGGCAGGGGGCACAGAATCCCAAGCAGGCTCCAGGCTCTGAGCTCTCCACATAGCCCGACGCGGGGGCCAAACCCTCAAACTGCGAGACCGTGACCTGAGCCGAAGCGGTCTGGGCGCTTAACCAGCCGAGCCGCCCAGGCGTCCCCCATACCCTCTTTTTGCCCAGATTCCATCTATCCAGGAAAAAAGGCCCCAGTTCAGTGCTTGCTTCCTGCCCTGGGGGGCGGGAGCCTGCTGTTCACAGTCTCTACTACTTTAGTGCGTTCATTGTGTCACGGTGTGATTCCCTGCAGATGCCTCCCTCCCGTGGTGGGCCAGGGCACATGCCCACTGAGGACAGGCACTGTACTCTGGTTCTCTTTGGTGTGCCCAGCGCTCAGCAAGGAGCATGGCACATAAAATAGCCCCTTAGGAAATGTCTGCAAAGGGCTCGAGGCCGGGCTTTCTGAAAAGCAGCTTGGTTTTCCTAAAACCAAGATCCTGTCCACGGTTACAGATTTCTTTGGTAGAAAAGTATATTGAAGAACAGCTGCTGGAGCGGATTCCTGGATTTAACATGGCAGCATTCACGACAACTTTGCAGTGAGTTGAACTTGCATTTTTATCTGTTTGACCTTTTTTCCCTCTTCACTTTGAAAAAAGACCCTCTTATTTCATTGCCTGACCATGAAGGTTTACAGCACGTGGCAGTTAGGTCGCGGGTGGGAGGGCCTTAAAATCCTCACATGGAATCTTGAGACAGACTCTGTTTCGGTCTTTCATGAGACAGCCATCCTTTTCTTTTGCAGGCATCATAAAGATGAGGTGGCTGGTGACATATTTGACATGCTGCTCACATTCACAGATTTTCTGGCCTTTAAGGAAATGTTTCTGGACTACAGAGCAGTAAGTGTCGTTAGCCACAGGGGACCACGGAGACAGTCCCTGGTAGGCCAGCTGCCAGGTTTCTCCCCGCGACTGGCCAGTACCAGTCGGCAGCTAGCAAGGTGTCAAAAGAGTGAGCGGCTGTCCTCTGGCCAGGACCCAGGGCCTTTACTGAGGAAGCACATTCTCATTGTATTGAAACAGGGCCCAGTTACCTTAGTCCCTAAATCCTCAGAAGGACAAAACCAAAAAGCAGGTCCAACTGCCTTGCCTTTCTTGTAATGCAGGCTCTTAATAGGGAAAAAGTAGTATTTTTCAGTGAAGAGAGGTAACACTTTTTTATGAGTGGGCCAGTGCTGAACAAGAATGCAAAATAACCCCATCCCTCTCCTGTGGCCCCCCCCCCCCCATGCCACACGCAGGGTTCTGAGCTAGAAAGGACTCCAGTATTTGCCCTGTTCCTTGCCACTTTGGATTCTTTTTCTCATGCAGGAAAAAGAAGGCCGGGCACTGGATTTAAGCAGTGGTTTAGTGGTGACTTCATTGTGCAAATCATCTCCCATGCCATCTTCCCAAAATGACCTGCGGCACTAGGTCCCACCCGTGGGGGGGACTGGCATCTTTCTGGACGTGGCCAGCCGAGCAGACTGGAGGAGGCTGGGGCTGTGTGATGGAACACATCTCAGGAAGGCTGGCTCCGGCCCACAACTCCTCACTGACGCTAAGTACTGACGATGGGTCAGAACACAACCGTCTGACCCTCCTGGGCCCCCGCAGCACCTTATGTTTGGGAATTCTGGCACCCCTCCCCAAGCCCACCCATCTCTCAGCCCTGAGTCGGGCTCCTGGGGCGCAGGTCTGGCCGGCGTCTCCCCGGGGCCCCTTCCCCAGCACAAATGTTGGTAGGGCAGCAGCATGTGGAAGAAGCCCCCCATCTCCAGCCCTCTTTGGCTCCGTATGTCCATCAGACTTTCTGTGTGTTCACAGCTTCCTGCGTCCGTCCGTGTCAGTCCTGCAGCCTCGGCAGGGGGGGGGGGGGGGGGCGGGGGGTTACCAGTGTGGGAACATGTCTCTAGGCTGTCCCTGCAGCCAGCTGCCCCCTGCCGCAGCTCGCTTCCCAGCTGGTGCTGGCTGTAGGAATAAGCGAGAGCTGTCCCTCAGCTGAAGCCACATGTGAAAATCACTTCCTCGTCTTTCATTCCGCGGTCCCTGCCTCACTGTCTTCTGCTGGTCCTGATGTAGTCTGGTTCTAGAATTCTTTTAAGCATTCCTAAAAAACTATTTTTATAGATGAGTACTCAGGCTAACCTAGTGGCTACAATCTTGGAACTTCCATGATTACCCACTTAAAGATCAAAGTATTATACACCGTGTGCTTTTTAGCTATTAGTGCTGTGAAAGCAAAGACGCTTTCTACGTTGACGTTCCTAGTTGACTGGATGTGTGTGTGCTTATGCTGGGAGTAGGCTAAACGGGCTCCCTTTCTTACAGCATGTTAAATGTTCGTGCAGGTTTGCTCAAGCCCTTTCTGTGTAAATCCGTTCGTTAGGTTTTCTCTTGGGGCAGGAGCTCTGTGCTCCTTCCCGCTGTCAGGATCTCCCTGCCAAGGCCGTGGTGTGGCGCGCTGGGCTGGCTCAGCATGAGGAGAGAGCAGACAGCTTTACTGGCATATGTACGCTTTGACTTAGCACAGTGTCTCATAGAAATTACCAGAAAACATGGATGTCACATCTCTAGAAAGAAAAAACATAGAATTTCAATTCTCAGTGTGTACCTTCCGTACATCTTTTTTAAGTAAAAATAGGACTATACTGACTTCAGTCAGCTGTTCTGGTTTTGAAGTATGAGCTGTAAACTGTTTTCTGTACTGATGTGTGGCGCTTATTAAATACTTTTGTACCACGAGTAAGCTTGGAGGCGTGTTGCCAGAGCGGTCATTCTTCACGAGTCCCTCCTGTCTTTACCGTCGCTGCTGCCCTCGGGTCACTGCTGCTTTGGTCCTTCAAACTCCCTTCTTCCAGTACTGCCTCTCCTGGCCTTGCTTTCCCTTCCTGCCCTTTTTACACAAACGGGCTGCTCACTGTAGGCTGGGCCCGTCTGAAGTACTTGATGAAGACCCTTGGGTTTGTCTGCCTGGGTGAGAAAAGCCACGGATGTGGACTTACAAAAAATGAACGAGAGCAGAGCAAACGCCAGCCTGTTGCTTATTTAATATTAAGACAGGCTTTCTGATTTTATAAAACAGACCAGAAACCTGTCTCTGTCCACACAGGAGCTTCCGTCATCATGTGCCACCTTTGATGGGGCTCAGGGCTGGCCTGGGGTGAGAAAGCCCAATGTCCCGCGTGGCCTCGGTGACCTCTGCCCCTGGGAAGCAGTATTCACCTAAACCGCAGGGTCTAAGGATCGGGCAGGCACCGGCCTAACCAAAAGGTGGTGGTTTGAAGGGACCATGTGAACATCTGCGGTCCAGCGGGCTGTGTGTTAGCAGGTCAGAAACCACTAAGACTTCTCTAGGACTTTGTCTCCTTGGAAGTCAAAAGAAAATGAGTTCATCTTAAAACTGAACAGTCTCCTTGTGGTTTCATCCTGGAATGACTGATTTACCAGATTCTGAGCCACTTGAGAGTAACAAGGGATGCGGTCAGCATCCACACCAGGATGCAGGCCAGGGGCCTGTCCCAGGCTGACTGGACATGGGCGTCTGACTTACCCCCGTCCCTCCGTCCTGGAGCAGTTCCCCCCGCCCCCCGGGGGTGCCTGAGAGCCCGGATGGTACCGAAGCCTCTTTGTACCATTTCCCCTTGCACGTCCGCAGCTGTGATAGAGTTCACTTTAGAAAGGCGTGGTAAGAGGTTAACGATAAAATAGAACAATTATAATATACTGTAAAAAAAAAAAAAAACATCTTCCTGTACTCTTGTGAGGAGGTGAGGTGAGGTCTCGCCACAGGCTGGGATGAGGGGAGGTGACTGGTGCGGCCTGACGCTGCTAGTAGCCTCGGGAGGACCACCATGTACTCCCAGGCCACAGCTGGCCACGAGAAACTAAAAACGCAGAAAACAAGAACATGGATAAGGGGAGCCTACTGCCTACTGTGGCCACATTCTAAATGCCTACCTTCAGCCTACTGTTCAGAGCGTGTTAGCCTGTGGCGGCTGAACCTGCGCTCAGGCTGGACGACTTCCCCTCTGCACCTGTGCCGCCGGCTCCCTGAACCCAGCATGGCCCTTCGCTTTGAGGACGTGATGTCTGAACTGCACACACTTTCACAGCAGGGGACACAATGACAGTCTCGAGTTCAGCAAGGTGACCCTGACATGCCTGAAGCTGGGACGACTGACTGGCTTAGTGTTAAACGGACACCTTTCTGAGAATGAAAGGGGGGTGCTATTAAATCTGTCAGGACAGCTGGCCTGAAGGGGGACCGTCCCTGGCAAAGCAAGCAGGAAGGTGGTCAGGTGGCCTCAGGTCTAAGTAGCAGCGGGTGGTGCAGAGTCTAGAAGCTGATTTGGAGCCTCTCAGCACAACACTTAGCTGCAGCCTCTGGGGCTGTACGAGCATCTACAACCACGATCACCCAATGTCTTTTCCAAATAGGATCTTCCATCTTTATTTTTGTGTAAAAAAAAAAAATAAAAAATAAATCCAAAGAGGACCAAGCCACCACCAAGCACGGGACAACTTACCAGGCGAGGTCTTGAGTCCCTCCCTCCTCCATGTCCCATGTGCCTAATCAACAGCGTCAGGGAAGCAGGTGGCACGGTTAGCTGTTCCCAAAGGGAATATTACAAACATGGGCTTGGGTGATGGAGGGAAACCTGGCCAGGGTTTTAATCACTGAGAAGTTGCTTAAAACCGATTGATTTCAAAAACTGGTATGTTTGAACTGCAGGAAAGGAGGACCGTGCAGTCAGAAATTCTAACTCTCTTTCCTCGGATGTCTCCCCAGAAGCAGCCTGTCGGCTGGAAGGAGGGAGGGTCAGATCAGACTTGCGGTTGAAGGAATGTGGCCGGTTTCAAAGAGCTTGCTCTGCGGTCCCGGGACAAAGACGTTGGTAAATACATGGGGCGTGTTAGGCTGGTGCTGCGGAGGGCCAGGAGCTGCAGGTCTGAGTCCTCGTTAGTGTACTTAGTGTTGGTGAGAAGACTGGGCCCCAGCCTCGGACCCCGGAGTCTCCTAAAGAAGAAGCGGAGAGCCCCGTCTCCCCCCACCCCGTCACCGTCCACTAAATACTGGGGATGGGCAGGCGGTGCCAGCCACGGGCCTCTTTCCAGCCCAGGCGCTTGCCAACTTGGGCCAAACCAGAGGAAGGCTCCTGATTCCTCAGGAGGAGCCCGGGTCTAAGCAGTGGAGCGGAGCACACGTAGTCCCTTCCAGGCTGACTCGACAAAGGGCTCGGGCCTCGGGCATGCAGGCCGCCCCGCGCAGTGACCCAGCTGCAGCCTTCAGCCCCAAGGTGGGTGGTGGCGCGGGGGGGCCTAGGCGTAGCCGCCAGCCATCTGACTGGTGGCTGCATTGCTGCCCACGCCCCGCCAGGCCTGGAAGCTGAAGAAAGCGCTCACTCCATAGGCGATCATCACCAAACATGCAAAGAACTGAAAGAGGAAGAAGACACCAGAGCTGAGTGGGGGTGCGGCGTGGCACTGGGGGGCGGGGGTGACAGGGATCCCGGTGCCAGACTGCCTTCCCTCAGACCCAAGGAGACAGTAAAAGCTTGAGCAGTGCCCCTCTGCTAACTAGGACACCGACACTGATTCAACCCAGCCACACACCCATTTAGCAAGTGTTTGTGGGGGTGCCCAGGGGGGCAAGGTTCTGGGGTGCCAACATGACATGCTCGTGGGGGAATCCACTAAGAACCACGCAGGCAAGGCATGTCCCACTGTGGTCAGGGCGACGGGATGATGTGCAAAGAGTGACCGAGGGGTGGGAGCTAGTCAGATACACATCAGGGATTTCGTTTTTTAAAAAGTCAACATTGTGGTTCTGAGGAATCTTCTGGAATCAATTCACGGGTGGCCAACACCAGCACCTGTGGCCGCTTTCAGAAGCACCACGTCTCTATCACAGATTTCAAAACCATCTTCCCCAGGAAGGGGGAGGAAACTCCAGCCCTGGTCTAGCCCCTGGTCTGTGCAAAGGGACTGGTAGTCCCTGTCCTCCTCACTGTGAGCAAGCGTCTGCGCGGGGGCCCTCGGAGTGAGGTGTGGCAGGCTCACTGGCATGTCACTGGCCACAGCCTGAGTTTGGGCTTCATGAGAGAGCCTGTAATTCCCCCCAAATGGTTTAAAATGAAAGGTTTTGCACGTGCCCCTTTCAAGAAGGGCCCACAGTTTTTAACGGGTCCCCCAAGGGGGCATATGACTGTCAGTCGGTGTGGAACACCTGGGTTAACAATGAAGTTCAATGGTTAACCTAGAACTTCCACTTCGGACCACCAAGTACTTCCCAAGCCTTCTGGTTCCTCAGGGTTTTGCTGTTCATACAGAAGGCTGAAAGCTCAGCTCCCCTGAGCCCCTGGGAATTTGGTAACCCCAGCGGTGGCAGGTGCTGGCCTCAGACCAGGGAGGGGTGGAAGTCCTGGGGCAGAGACCTGGCCTGGCCCGTCGTCTCCCCTGTAACTGCCAAGGCGCCCCGGGGAACTGTACTCACAGAGGCAGCCGCACGCTGGTTGTACGGCCGGGTGCCCTTCAGGGCTGTCAGCTCAACGGCGGCAGAGCAGGTGATGAAGGCCGTGATGTAGAGAACCGTGGCGCCCACGTTAAATATCATTAACTGGGGGGGGGAGGAAGAGGAGAACAGGCTTGACCACAGACTCTTCCAGTAAGTGTGGGACCTCTTGGTTCCCAACAGCACATGCCTTTAGTATCCAGGACAGGTGCTGGGGCTCAAGGAAGGGGAGGGGGACCTGGGTCTTTCCCACTAGAAGGGAGAAGAGACATCCACATGGGGTCAGCCCAGTGGCCACCTAAGCTGGGAGCATAAACACCAGGGCTGAGGGGGGAGGGGACACGATGGGGAGGCCTGCAGTGACCTGGTCAGGAGCAGCGGCAGTCAGAGGCAAAACCCATTCCCCTTGGCTGGAGACCGAACGGACCAAGGCCCGCTCTGAGAGCCCCAGCTAAATAACTCCAAGGCCATGCTCTTCCATGTTGGCTCAGCACGAGCTCGGCCCTCCCTCTCGGCACCACAGGCCTTGGGCCTGAGGCGGGGCCTGGGAGCGCATCCCATCCCTCTCTATCCCCAGCGGGAGGAGTCTATGGCTGCCTTTTGGCCAAGCCCTCAGCTCAAAGCCCCTCATGTCCCACGCCAGGGTCAGGACCCAGCAGGGTTATGGACCACACTGGCAGGCAGCACCCTCAGCTGACATTCGGGCCGAGTCCCATTTCCCGAACGCTTGGCCCCCGGGTCCAGTAAACAGGCTTAGCTGTCACTGCACACTGGTGGCCCTCTGGCATGTCTGGTTCAACCTATAGATTGTTTTTTAAAAAAATTACCAACATTCTAGGGGCGCCTGGGTGGCTCAGTCGGTTAAGCACCCAACTCTTGATTTCACTCAGGTCATGATCTCACACACTGGGCTCTGCGTTGACAGATTGGAGCCTACTTGGTATTCTCTCTCTCTCTCTCTCTCTCTCTCTCTCTCTCTCTCTCTCTCTCTGCCCCTCCCCCTCGCTGGCCTGCTGGCTCGCTCACAATGAAATATTCATTTAGAAAAAATAAAGGTTATTTTAAATAAATATGACCAACATTCTAAAATTAGATTTCGTATAAAACTTTCAATTTTAAGAATATCAAGATTTGGGGTGCCAGGGGGCCTGCACTCCCACTAATCAGAGGAGCTGAGGAGAGGTGGCTCCCTGTGGACAGACGGGGGGCAGGTCTTCCAGAACCCCTCCGGATCGACCTCACTCATTCCCCTTGCCCAGCCCGGAAGGGGGCTGGTGGCCCTGTCCCAGAAAATGGCCCTCTGGCGTTCCCAGTCACGCCTCCCCTGCCCTATCTGCTAATGGGCCCAGGAGCAGAGAGACCCTCTTGCCGTCACGGCCCAGGAAGGGGGGCCCCCTTCCAGCAACAGCTGTGGCCAGAGCCCCAAATCTGTGCTCAGGGACACTGAGGCCTCGCCATCTCGGGAGATCTCTTTCTTCAAGGCTCCGGGGACCGAGAGCAGGGGCCGGATCCCAGCCAGGAAGTCGGGCCACCCCCTCCTCATCCCAGGATCTCCCCTGCAAGCCCAGCACCCGCCACAAACGCTGCCTGGCTCCTGCCAGTGATGTCAAGGTCTAACAAACCCGTTCTGTCTTGAGGATGACTCACGTTTCCTCGGTTTAAAAAGTCATTGAATTCCAAACAATGCTGCCTAGTCCCAGCCTCGCTTGCCTTACAATCACGTGCCTCTCTCGCCTCGGCGCTGAAAGCCTCAGACCCCAGCTGCAGGGCTTTTCCGGGTCAGAGAAAAAAGCCCAGCGGCTGTGTGTGTGTCTGGCGGGGTCCTTCCCAGGGACTCTCTCAGCTCTATGTCCCGAGGAGCCTGAGCCGGGTGAACCTGGGACGCCGCCCTCCCCAGGGCTGGAGGGGCCTGTCCCGGGTCATTCCGGACAGCTCAGCCCAGCCTCCAGACCCAGGGTGGCCAGATTCCGACAGACCCTCTGCCACACAGGCAGGCCAACTGCCCCCCAAAAAGGAAAAATACTTTCAAGATTCCAAATGGCCTTTGAGCTCTTCCCTGCCAGTCCCTCCCCCGGAGAAAGCCAAGCCTGTGTCCTCCATCCCCCAGTCGGCCCTGCAAGCTGGCTGAGGGCCAGCGCCCACGAGCCACTCATGCGGGGAAGGTCCTACCGTCACAGCGTCTCCCCAAGGCAGAGGGGTCAGCATGGAAGCGCCCCCCACCCCCCGCTCCCACCCAGACTCACCACCAGCGGCCAGGGCACCATGTACAACTTCATGTGCAGCTGAAACAGGTAGAGGATGAAGAAGACAACTGTCACCAGCCAGAGGAAGACAGCAACGAACATGACCCAGCCGTAGGCTGGGTACAGGTGGTACGGGGTATCGGCAATCAGGGCCCACACCAGCAGCCCCAGCACCTGGAGGGACGAGACAGGGCCAGAGTCCCCCAGAACCCCCACTGCTCTGGCTGGAGGCCACAGGGCTCCCTCTGCAGGACATATTTCTCATTTAGTCAAGAAAAACATTTATTTAGGGGCGCCTGGGTGGCTTAGTCGGTTAAGCGTCCGACTTTCGCTTAGGTCATGATCTCGCGGTTCGTGGGTTCGAGCCCCGCGTCGGGCTCTGTGCTGACTGCCAGCTCAGAGCCTGGAGCCTGTTTCAGTCTGTGACTCCCTCTCTCTCTGACCCTCCCCTCCCCTGCTCATGCTGTCTCTCTCTCTCCTAGAAATAAATTAAAAAAAAAAAAAATTAAAAAAAGAAAAACATTTATTTAGCTCCCACTGTATACTACCACATACGAAGCCCTTGCCTGGTAACTTACTACTCCTTTCAGGTCTCACGTTACATGCTGTGGGACACCTTCCCTGCTCCTCCAGTCTGGGATCTAGAACCTTCTTTTGTGCTCTCATGCCCCCTCCCGCCAGCACCCACCACCCAGGACTAGGATACTGTTTCCTTCCCAGACTCTAAGTTCCCTGAGGGCAGGCCAATGACAGTCTCAACCATAGCTGCACCCTGGCAGCCAGTACGGGACCTGGGCCCTGCCAAGGGCTCAGTAAAAGCTGCTGAAAGGTGACGCCGCCATCCTGGAGGGACACAGTCCAAATTCCAGAGGTGGGAAAACCAACAGCCTGTACCGTCCTCCCACTCAGGGCCTCAGGGTGACTTCCACCTGAAGCCCTACTCAGCCCTTCCCACCTTCTCTGACTCTCCTCATTGCCCCTCCATACAGGTGTTACCATCCCCACCTGACGGGGAAACTGAGTCTCACACCATTCCCACATGGCAGGGTGGGTCCTGATATCCTTGCAGTGTGTGAAGCAGCTAATAGCATGGACCTTGCAGCCCACTACCTGGGTTTAAACCCTGCTCCCTTCCCAGCTGTGTGACCTTGGGCAAGCTCACAACCTCTCTGTGCTTTGGTCACCCCATCTGTAAAATCAGTGTCAACGACCACACCTACCTCGCGGGCTGCGTCAAGGACCCAGGAGTTCACATATATCAATGGGTACAACAGAACGTTGCTTTTATTCTTCTCTGCTGGATACGCTGCCCTCTGGGCCACGGGGAATTCTGCACAGACAGGCTGACACCCGCTTGGGGGACTTGGCAGCGTGGGGCCGAGCAATGGGCACACTATGAGGCACGGCCCAGGGAGCTCAGGAGAGCCCACAAGCAACAGCTCACAGGCAGCCGTCCTGGCCGCCCCCACGCCTCTCCTACCCTCTTCCCTGCTGCCCAAGACCCCGGGGCTGAGGTGCCCTCCCTTGTCTGGCCGCCGAAGCGGGGAGGGGCTACCATGGGGCTGCAGAGAAAGGCCCCTTTGCTGATGAAGATGCACCAAGAGAGCTGCCCTCTTCTTCCTCGGGTGGCATCCAGCCGCGTGGCAGGGGGGCCCGCAGTGACCCTGCCCCGGCCTGAGAATGCGCAAACTGTCACTTAGATCCCAGAGAAGCAGCTCGGAAGCAAGATGCGCCTCTAGCAGCTGGTCCAGGAGACGAAAAGTACCCCCCACCCCACCCCGGGGACCAAAAAGTTCCTCTGCCAGACGCCGGAGAGCTGGAGGCCACCCTGGGCACAGCCAGTGCCGGGCACCTGCTAGCCCCCCGCCGCCCGCCGAAGCACCCTTGCCATTTTGGTCCCCATCCCCCTACACTCGCGGGGACAGGGCAGGGAAGGCCTTAGGTAAGGGGGGGCGGAGTCGGGCAACTCCCAGCACCACCTTCCCTCCTCCCCCTCCTCCTCCTGCCGGAGAGGCAGGGCCAGGGTGTGTGTGGTTGGCTTCCTTCCCACTGCACCGCTGCGAAGGGGAGGTGGAGCCCCAGGCTCCAATCCTGCCCATGCTGTGGGACACCGGGTGAGCCCCCTTCCCTCTCTGTGCAGCGTCCGGGGCAACTCCAATCTGCCCACCAGATTGCTTCCTGCGGAAGCATGTTGCAGGGCCCTCCCAGGTGAGAGCCAGGCACATCAGGGACAGAGAATGAACTGTCCTTATGGGGCAGGGTCCTTATGGGCCTCCAGGCCATCGTGCGGCACTGTTCCAACCACCTGAAAGGCAGTTAGAAAATGCAGTGAAATGAAGATCGAGAAGAGACCAATTTGGGGGTCCCTGGGTGGCTCAGTCAGTTAAGTGACCGACTTCGGCTCAGGTCACGATCTCACGGTGCAGGAGTTCGAGCCGCGAGCTGGGCTGTCAGCGTAGAGTCTGCTTTGGATCCTGTCTTCCTTCCTCTCTCTCTGCCCCTCCCCCGTGCTCGCTCTCTCCCTCTCTAAAATAGGAAGGACAGAAGGAAAGAAAGAACAGAAAGACAAGACCAATTTGGGTTTACCCTAATGTACACCTATCAATTATCGGTATTATTACTCCTAGATTTGGTCACAATAGCCATGTACTGCCTTCCAGCTCGGTGCCACACACACCTGGGGAAAGCACCTCCCCTTTATTTCACTGTTTCCCAGTAACCCCCTCATCGGCTGGTGCTATTTATTTTCCCTATTTTCCAAATAGAAGCTCAGAGGGAAATGAGCCTGTGGTCGCCCACGGTCACCCGTGGCTAAAGGGCAGGGCAGCACTTGAACCCTGATCTGTCCTCCGGAACCCAGGCTACTGAGGGTTACTTAGTGCTGCGTGACGAATGAGGACACTGGAGCTGTCTCCTGGCTCTGCCCTGCCCTCCAGCCCAGCGCTGCTTTCCAGACCAGCAAGCGCAGCTCGGAGAGAGCTCGATAAGCAGCAGGAATTTCTGGTGTCCCTCCTGGCTTTGCCGCCCTGGCCCTGTGCCCTGGGAGTGGCCTCGGTTTCTGCCTCCAACAAGCAAAGGTCCACTTCTCCAGCTGAACCAGACGGACTGGTTTTTCCCGTCCACTCCCCACCAAGAATCCAAATGGAGCACCCCAGCCCAGGGCCTCGGGGCGACCCCACTCGGGACAGGGCAGCCCCACACTGGACATCCTCTCCCTCCTTCTGGGGGCCCATGCCTTAGCGGGAAGAAGGGGCCAGGGGGCTTGTCCTATGGTCCACTACAGGAGAGTAAAGCCCACTTTTCAGGAGGAGAAGGACAGCGGTGGGTAGCTGGGGGCAGAGGGCAGGAGGCCACCTGTCTCCAGGGCCTTCCCCAGGCCCCTCTGTCCAGGACAGTCACCTTGCAGCTCCGGTGTCCTCTGAGGACAGGCCTCGGCATGTGCATCTCACTGGGATCATTCATTCAACCAATATCGACGTGGCCTTTACCTCTGGGTCCCTGTCTCTTGCCTACACATTCATCATCTGCCCCCGTGTTTCTCTGTGAGAAACAGACACACAAACATAGAATCAAGCCTTATCCCCTCACTCCTTTAATGCATCCCCTGCAACACCTCCTTCAGGCAAGCACTACAGATAAAGAGAACTATCTGGAAATCTTGAAGGTGCAGGCCTTTTTTTTTTTTTTTATCCCCCCCAAAAATCTAAAGACTTCAGATAAGAGATTTTTCTCTTTAAATGAGGACTGTCAAAAAGGACACTTTCACACATGCCCCAGGACCTTTGCACCTACAAAAGAATTTCTAAACAACTGGGGAACAGGGATATCTTTGTTAAAATCACCTGCAAAGAGGAGAGATTCATCACAAATGCCAGACAGAAAGGCATTCCTTGATTAGGATGGGCCCTGATCCAGGGACTGTTGTCCTTACAGGAAGAAGGAAAATGGACGGAGACACACGGAAGTAGAAAGCCACGTAAAGATGGAGGCAGAGAAGAGAGTGGTAAGTCTCTAAGCCAAGGAACACGACTGGTGGCAGCCAGCAGAAGCCAGGAGACCGGCGGGGACAGGTCTCCTTCAGAGCCTCCAAAAGGAACCGACTATGCCAACACAGTGATTCTGGACATCGAGCCTCCAGAACTGTGAGACAATAAATTTCTATTGTTTGAAGCCACCCACTTTCTGGCATTTTCTTATGGCAGCCCTAGGAAACCAGCATGTCTCTCTGAGCAGCTTTTGGGCGCAGATGGCTATCATGATCTGATTTAACTGTGTGAATCTGGCATCAGTTTTGATGGAAGGTTGGCCTATGAACTCACTGGGTTCGAGCTCTGGCCCTGCCAACTTCCTACTACGTCAGCCAGGCCAAGTTGCTGAATCTCTCTGTGCCTTCGTGTTCTCATTTTTTTTTTTAAATGTTTATTTCTGAAGGAGAGAGAGAGACCAAATGTGAGTGGTGGAGGGGCACAGAGAGGGGAAGACACAGAATCTGAAACTGGCTCCAGCCTCTGAGCTGACAGCACCAAGCCTGATGCGGGGCTTGAACCCACAAACCGTGAGATCATGACCTGAGCTGAAGTCAGACGCTTAACCAACTGAGTCACGCAGGCGCTCCCCTCCCCATGTTCTCATCTTCGAAACGTGTCTACCTCATAGAGTAGTTCTAAGGTTAAAAAAAATACATGTACGGTACTTAGATCAATGCCCAANATTTATTTAGGGGCGCCTGGGTGGCTTAGTCGGTTAAGCGTCCGACTTTCGCTTAGGTCATGATCTCGCGGTTCGTGGGTTCGAGCCCCGCGTCGGGCTCTGTGCTGACTGCCAGCTCAGAGCCTGGAGCCTGTTTCAGTCTGTGACTCCCTCTCTCTCTGACCCTCCCCTCCCCTGCTCATGCTGTCTCTCTCTCTCCTAGAAATAAATTAAAAAAAAAAAAAATTAAAAAAAGAAAAACATTTATTTAGCTCCCACTGTATACTACCACATACGAAGCCCTTGCCTGGTAACTTACTACTCCTTTCAGGTCTCACGTTACATGCTGTGGGACACCTTCCCTGCTCCTCCAGTCTGGGATCTAGAACCTTCTTTTGTGCTCTCATGCCCCCTCCCGCCAGCACCCACCACCCAGGACTAGGATACTGTTTCCTTCCCAGACTCTAAGTTCCCTGAGGGCAGGC